TAGACCCTCATCTCATACCACAAACAAAAAAACAACTAAAAATGGACTAAATCATTAAACATAAAATCTGAAACTATAATACTACTAGAAGAAAACACAGGGGCTCCAGGATACCACACAGACAACTCTGCCTTTCAAATAAAATAATATTTAAAAAAAAAATTTTTTTTTGACAGGCAGAGTGGACAGTGAGAGAGAGAGACAGAGAGAAAGGTCTTCCTTTGCCGTTGGTTCACCCTCCAGTGGCCGCCGCGGTCGGCGCGCTGCGGCCGGCGCACCGTGCCGATCCGATGGCAGGAGCCAGGAGCCAGGTGCTTTTCCTGGTCTCCCATGGGGTGCAGGGCCCAAGCACTTGGCCATCCTCCACTGCACTCCCTGGCCACAGCAGAGAGCTGGCCTGGAAGAGGGGCAACCGGGACAGAATCCAGTGCCCTGACCGGGACTAGAACCCGGTGTGCCAGCGCTGTTAGGCGGAGGATTAGCCTAGTGAGCCGCGGCGCCGGCCAAAAATTTTTTATAACAAATAAAAGTATTTTTTAATTTTTTTAATTTTTATTTAAGAAATATAAATTTCTAAAGTACAGCTTTTAGATTACAGTGGCTTTTTCACCCCCATAACTTCCCTCCCACCCGCAACCCTCCCATCTCCTGCTCCCTCTCCCATTCCATTCACATCAAGATTCATTTTCAATTATCTTTATATACAGAAGATCAATTAAGTATATATTAAGTAAAGATTTCATTAGTTTGCACCCACACAGAACATAAAGTGTAAAATACTGTTTCAGTACTAGTTACAGTATTAATTCACATTGAACACACATTAAGGACAGAGATCCTACATGGGGAGTAAGTGCACAGTGACTCCTGTTGTTGACTTAACAAATTGACACTCTTGTTTATGGCGTCAGCAATCACCCTAGGCTCTTGTCATGAGTTGCCAAGGCTATGGAAGCCTTGAGTTCGTCAACTCCGATCTTATTTAGACAAGGAAGTCAAAGTGGAAGTTCTCTCCTCCCTTCAGAGAAAGGTACCTCCTTCTTTGATGGCCCGTTCTTTCCACTGGGATCTCACTCACAGAGATCTTTCATTTAGGTCTTTTTTTTTTTTTTCCTAGCCAGAGTGTCTTGTCTTTCCATGCCTGAAATACTCTCATGGGCTTTTTAGCCAGACCCGAATGCCTTAAAGGCTGATTCTGAGGCCAGAGTGCCATTTAGGACATCTGCCATTCTATGAGTCTGCTGTGTATCCAGCTTCCCATGTTGGATTGTTCTCTCCTTTTTAATTCTGTCAGTTATATTAGCAGACGCTAGTTTTATTTATGTAATCCCTTTGACTCTTAGTCCTATCATTATGATCAATTGTGAACTGAAACTGATCACTTTGACTAGTGAGATGGCATTGATACATGCCACCTTGATGGGATTGAATTGGAATCCCCTGGCACGTTTCTAACTCTACCATTTGGGGCAAATCAGATTGAGCATGTCCCAAATTGCACATCTCTTCCCTCTCTTATTCCCACTCTTATATTTAACAGGGATCACTTTTCAGCTGAATTTAAACAACTAAGAATAATTGTGTGTTAAAGAGTTCAACCAATAGTATTAAGTAGATCAAAAAAATTAAAATATTCTTAAAAAGGTATTCAAAAAGTTAATGAAAAGTGTACATTATTTAAAAAAACTGAGCCAATGGAGCCAAATAAACACTTATCAAAAGATATGCAAATGACTAACAAGAATGTGAAAAATGTTCAATATCACTAATTGCCAAAAAACTGGAAATTAAACCCACAATGAGCTATCACCACATACCCATCAGAGCAGCTACTATCTAAAAGATGAAAGATGACAAGTAATGTGAGGCTGTGAAGAAAACAGAACCCTTGTACGCTGCTGGTGGGAATGTAATTAGTACAGCCATTAAGGAAAACTGAATGAAGATTCTCAAACAACTAAATACAACTACCATCTGACCCAGCCACCCCAAAGGAAAGAAATTATGCTGAAGAGGTATGTGCACTTCTGTGTTCACAACCAAGACAGGAACTCAATGGACAAACAGGTAACAGATATGTGTTACAGATAAACAGTGGAATATTATCCAGCCTTTAAGAAGAAAGAAATTCTATCATTGGCAATAACATGGATGAATCTAGAAGATATTAGATTAAATGCAATAAGCCAGGCACAGAAAGACACATACCACCTAATTTCACTTATATATAAAATCTAAAAAAAGTTTAATTCATCAAAGTAGAGAACAAAATGGCGGTTACCCAGGCTGGGGGTTGAGGAGAGGACTGGGGGAGACAATGGTCCAAGGATAGAAAATTTCAGTTGGACAGAGAAATCAGGTCAAGAGGTCCTTTGTATGGCACGGTGATTACAGTCCATAACAATATATTATATACTTGAAAATTATTAAGACAGTACATTTTGTGGCTGGTGCTGTGGCGCAGCACGTGAAGCCACTGCCTGCAGCGCTAGCATCCCATATGGGTGCCGGTTTGAGTCTTGGCTGCTCCATTACTGATCCAGCTCTCTGCTATGGCCTGTGAACGCAGTAGAAGATGGCCGAAATCTATGGGCCCCTGCACTTGTGTGGGAGACCCAGAAGAAGCTCATGGCTCCTGGCTTCGGATCAGCTCAGCTCAGCTCAGCTCTGGCCATCTGGGGAGTGAACCAGTGGAGAGAAGACTGACCTCTCTCATTGCAACTCTGCCTTTCAAATAAATCAATCAATCTTAAAAATTAAATTTTAAAAAGTACATTTTAAGCGTTCTCACCACAAAAAATAAGCATGTGAGGTAATGTATGTTATTTGCTTAGCAGAGCCATCCTACAAAGCATACATATTCAGAACATTATACTGCACAATAAATACAACTTTTATTTATCAATTACAAGTAATAAATTCTAATAAAAGAAAACTCAATTATATGCTCTTGGCATAAACCTTTGCCTCTCAAAGTATGGTCAAAGCCACACTTGTGTCACCTGGTTAGAAACAAAGACCATCAGGGCTGGCACTATGGCTTTAGTGAGTTAAGCCACAGCCTACAGCACTGGCATCCCATATGGCCGCCCGTTCGATTCTGGCTGCTCCACTTCTGATTCAGCTTCCTGCTAATGAGCCTGGGAAAGCAGCAGAGAATGGCTCAAGTGCTTGGGCCCCTGAACCCTTGGGAGATAGGAAGAAGCTCCTGGCTCCTGGTTTTAGTCTGGCCCAGTTCTGGCTGCTGCAGCCATTTGGGGAGCGGACCAGCACATGGAAGATCTCTGTCTCTTCCTTTCTCTAACTCTCCCTTTCAAATGAAAATCAATCAGTCTTGAGGCTGGCGCTGTGGAGTACTAGGTTAAGCCTCTGCTTGCGGCGCCCACATCCTATACAGGTGCCAGTTCAGGTCCCAGCAGCTCCTCTTACGATCTAGTTCTCTGCTTATGGGAAAGCAGTGGAAGATGGCCCAAGGTGCTCAGACCCCTGCACCCGCATGGGAGACCCCGAAGAAATTCCTGGCTCCAGGCTTCAGACTGGCCTAGCTCTGGCCACCGCAGCCATTTGGGGAGTGAATCAGTGGATGAAGACTGGTCTCTCCCTCTCTGTAACTCTGACTCTCAAATAAAACAAATCTTTAAAAAATAATAAGTAAGTCTTAAAAAAACAAAAAAGAAATGTAGACCATCAAGCCCCAACCTAGACCTTCTAACTCCGAATTTGCATTTTTATCAAGAGTCCCCCCAGATTCACATCCAAAATGAAGTTTGGTCTAGGTGATCGTCCCAGCCACTCCACTCCACTGGCATCTACCCCAGAGTGAACCCAAAGCAGGTGGCACTGATCTGCAGTCCCCTCACTGGGTCTCTATTCTCACGGGACTCACACCAAGCGAGATCCAAGGGCAATGTGCACTATATACCTAAAACCCAACTTAACTCTTCAATCCCCAGCTGACGCACAGCTACCAAGGTAACAACGGGCTTGATGTAACCAAGGGCTCACATCTTTGCACTATAAATGGTGAGTATGGGACCCATGCTGTGGCATAAGGTAAAGCCACCACACACAGTGCCAGCATCCCATATGGTCGCCAGTTTGAGTCCTGGCTGCTTCAATTCCAATCCAGCTCCCTACTAATGTGCCAGGGAAGGCAGTGGAAGATGGCCCAAATGCTTGGGCCCCTGCACCCAGGTGGGAGATCCGGAGGAATCTCTTGGCTCTGAATAGGTCCAATTCTGACTGGTATGGCTATTTGGGGAGTGAACCAGAAAACAGAAGATCTCTCTCTGTCTCTCTTTCTCTCTGCAATTCCGCCTTTCAAATAAATAATTTTTTTAAAAAAATAAGTAGTGGCCGGCGCTCACTTGGCTAATCTTCCTCCTGTGGTGCCAGCACCCCGGGGTTCTAGTCCCGGTTGGGGCACTGGATTCTGTTCCGGTTGCCCCTCTTCCAGGCCAGCTCTCTGCTGTGGCCAGGAGTGCAGTGGAGGATGGCCCAAGTGCTTGGGCCCTGCACCCGCATGGGAGACCAGGAGGAAGCACCTGGCTCCTGACTTTGGATCGGCGCAGTGCCGGCCATAGCGGCCATTTGGGGGATGAACCAACGGCAAAGGAAGACCTTTCTCTCTGTCTCTCTCTCTCTCACTGTCTAACTCTGCCTGTCAAAAAAATAAATAAAAATAAATAAAAAATAAATAGTAATAATAAAAAATGGTGAGTATATCAACAGCACAAGCCAGCTGCAGCCTGGCGCTCACTGCCACAGGTCAGCCATAACTTGAATGCAGGGATGACAGTGCTCTGAAGCAAACGGCCCCAGAAGTAGTGTCGTGGAACACAATCCTGTAAGTTCAAGGGTGCCTTCCTTTAAGGAGAGCTGCTATCCAGTTAGCTGATTCTGTGAAGTATGTAACTTTATAAGTAAAGTTTCTTACCCAGGATCTTCCTGTATATTACCCACCATCTGGAAAGCTCTCGAACCCGTTAACCATAGCTTACCTGCGCACACCGTCCTAGTTCTTTCCTGCCCAGATACTGAAATATGTTGATGGCCAATTCATAAGGCAGCTGGACATCGAAGAAGGGCACATCATCCATTTCGTTCTGAGGGGAAAAAAGAACAAAGCTTACAATTCTGAGATATGAAAATAACTCATGGCTGCAGGCCCTCTGAATGACTGTCCTCAGGCGGCGCTGAGAGACAAGGCTGTGTCCCAGGAGCAGGCCTTCTCACTGCCTCACAGAGCAGCTACAGAACCGCTGCAGGACTTGCCAGCCACACCCAGCTCCGACCCCCACAACCGCCCCCCCGCCCCACATTCACTTAGGAAAGCCACAGAACCCTTTGCCACAAGGCTTCAAGAAGGAGAGGCAAGGGCACCATTGTACACACTGGGGTACACCACGGGAAGCTGTACAGAGATGTGTGGCAGCCCCCCTGGCTTGTAAGGCAAGGTGGGCAGCAGGCAGCCAAGAAAGGGAGCCCTGAAATCCAGGAAGCCACCCAGCGCCCAGGACAACTGCCATCGCCCCCAGCTCGGTGGGCACTGAGTACCACAGCTGGGGAAAGGCGGACCTAGGGCACTGAATGTTTTCATCAGAAAAAAACAGGGCTGTGAACACGAGTGAAAAGTAAACAAACAGACGCTGCTTGTGAGGGGACACCACACCGTCCTTGGCCGCTGGAGCAGGACAGGTTTCCCAACCCTCTTGGGGGCTTAATGTGGGTTAACCTGAGGCAGCCAGTGCAAACAAAGAAGTTCTTCTTCGGTGTCATTTATTAATGTAGGGAAATTAGAGCTTGCCTGCCTTTGGATGGGCAATTAGAGATGAGGTAACAGACTTCAGCTGAGAGATAAGGCTGTCATGACGATCTTGGTAGCACAAAGAAACATGAGTGTGAAACAGAAAAAGCCAAACGTGCATATGCACCCCTCTGCCTGCTCCCAAATCCACCTGCCAACGCGCACTCTGGTACTTGCTTCTGCAAAGCAAGAGAAAGCTGTGCTCTTTGTCCCAACAGAACTCACTTAATAAAATTCATTTTTAATAAGCTTTGGCTGACATCAGTGACTGGTTGCTGAATTGTTAATTCACCATGCAAACACAACAGTCTTACGTATTGCAAGGCTACAGCCTCAAAACAGAAAACAGTCTCAGCATGTTTAAGGGACTGTGAACACTGATTTGGACATTACTAAGATTCAGTGTAAAGATTTTTCTGGAATCATATTTCTGTTCATCTAGGAGACTCAGGGCTAAAAGATAATCCAGAACATATGAAGAGAATGTGATATTCAACTGCAAAAACAGAGCAAGGCTAAGTATGAGGGCCAAAAAGGATCTCTAGAGGATACACACACATAAAAAAAAAGAGTAAGAACTGACAAGCCTCTTGGGCAAAGAAGGAACAGAATGTGAAATCAAGGGAGAAACATCGGCCATACTAAAAAAAACAGGAAAAAATCTGCAAGTGTAATTGGAAGACACAGGGGTTCTTGCCTAAAAAAATAATGGAAAGTTATTGGTCTAATGTCAGGCTAGTTCGCCTCCCACAACTAATTGGCTTCCCGCATCAACAAAGAGGCACAACTCTCGCTCAGAGTCTCACACAACTTGAGACTCCTCACCACAATGTGCAAGGGAGCCCCTGCGGCCACAGAGGGCTGTACACAAGGCAGATCATCACTTGTCACCCTGGACGACCCCCATCTACACTAAGTGGGGAGGCCTATTTGGTAAAGACACCAGAGAAGAATGTCCCCTAACCTCATGGGACCAGAACAAAGGCAGACAAAAGCCTGCACTAGTGCAGACTGAAGTCTCGTTTAGCTTTTCACTGTCGAGACACGCCAGGCCTTGCTTTCTTCAGTGGGTCCTATTCAGGACTCACTATGGACCAGCTTCTGCACTTGTCACTCCTGACATCATCTGCATTGTTTCCAAGTAGTCTAATACAGAAAAGGCACACTTCTGGTAGTGTGTGTGACACTTCTGGTGGTAGTGTGTCTGCCGCATGCCTGTCCATACCCCACAGTACCAGCCTGCTCACACAGGGACGTCATCTCCCCAGCCCTGCCATATTGTAAGTATGTGATAGCTAGTAACAGGAGCAGTGAGAAGATAGTGAAGCAGACTGTACTCAGGAGTGTGAACACTAGAAGTATCCATGTAACAGGAGTTTTTAAAAAATCATCATCGGGGCAAGTATTTAGTGTAGTGGTTAAAATCCACTTAATCCAGAGTGCCTGGGTTTACTCCCGCCTCCAGCTTCCTGCCAGTGCGGATCCTGGGAGGCAGCAGATGATGGCTCAAGTAGCTGGGTTCCCGCACTGATCTGGAAGAGCTGTATCAAGTTCCTGGTTCCCTGCTTTGGCCTGGCTCAGCCACAGCTACTGCAGGCACAATGGGAATGAACCAACAGGTGACAGCTCTGTCTCTTATAAAATAAAATTTAAAAATAATCATCTTTAAAAGGCTAGACCTGTGTAGTAACTCAAGAAGCCTCTGCTCTGGTGCACAGGCGATGAAAGGCTGCAAACAAGTCCGTGGTGTATTACAGCCACCACACCAACACACCAGAGACCCTGTGCTGGGCTCATGGGAAGGCACACATGGCGATGGTGGAACATTTGTAAGTTCTGAAGGGTGACCACTGTTCCAAAGCACTGAACTGTGATTTCGTAAACACCAACATTAAAGGGTCAAAAAAAATTTTTAAGTCACTGTACACTTAGAATTACAACTCAATAGCTGACAATGTGGCACAGCAGGTTAACCTGCCACCTGCAACACAGGTTCAAGTCCTGGCTGCTCCACTTCCAATCCAACTCCATGCTAATGCACATGGGATGGCAGCTGAAGACGCCATCCATGTGAGAGACCCAGAGTTCCAGGCTCCTGACTTCAGCCTGACCCAGACCCAGCCGTTACAGCCATTTGGGGAGCAAGCAAGCAGATGGAATCTCCCCCTGTCACTGTCTTACACATAAAGTCTTTTTAAAAATTACAACTCCAAAACAGATTAAACACCCATCTTTCTTGTATGTAAATGACATGTCCTGCTGTTATCACTGGTTGGTTAATGGCAGGAGAATAAACAGCAACATAGTAAGAAAAAAAAAAAAAGATACCCAGCTTAAGAAATTTGTAGGCCGGCACCGCGGCTCACTAGGCTAATCCTCCGCCTAGCGGCGCCAGCACACCGGGTTCTAGTCCCGGTCGGGGCGCCGGATCCTGTCCCGGTTGCCCCTCTTCCAGGCCAGCTCTCTGCTGTGGCCAGGGAGTGCAGTGGAGGATGGCCCAAGTGCTTGGGCCCTGCACCCCATGGGAGACCAGGAGAAGTACTTGGCTCCTGCCATCGGATCAGCGCGGTGCGCCGGCCACAACGCGCCAGCCGCGGCGGCCATTGGAGGGTGAACCAACGGCAAAAAAGGAAGACCTTTCTCTCTTTCTCTCTCTCTCACTGTCCACTCTGCCTGTCAAAAAAAAAAAAAAAGAAGGAGGAGGAAGGATTGATTGGCAGACTAAAGGTCAAGAGATCAATGTTAAGGTTTCATGCTGTGCCTGGAATAATTTTGGCAAGACATTGTATCAATGGCCTTTTTTTTTTTTTTTTTTTAAGGGAAAGAGTTTATTAGGGAAACTCGACAGAGGAAGAGAGGGAGAAGGAAAGTGTAAGAGAGACAGTGAGAGATCAGGAGACGGAGAGAAAGGAAGAGAGAGACGGAGAGAAAGGAAGAGAGAGAGAAGGGGGGAGGGTGTTCAGGAGCAGGTCCTTTTAAAACTTTGTTGGGGGAGGGGGCGGGCAGGGAAGTAGGAGCAGCAAATCCCATTAGGATGGGAGTGGATTTGACACCGATGGTTGGGCCATGTGGCCACCTGGCTTCCAGCAATGGCAGCTGGGGCTAGAGCCTAGGATGCTGTCAGGGTGTAGATCACACCATAGATAAAACAGCACGTTGGGGCCGGTGCAGTGGCGCAGAGGGTTAAACCCTGGACTAAAGTGCTCCCATCCCATATGGGCGCCAGTTCTAGTCCCGACTGCTCCTCTTCCGATCCAGCTCTCTGCTATGGCCTGGGAAAGCAATGGAAGATGCCCCAAGTCCTTGGGCCCCTGCACCCATATGGGAGACCCAGAGGAATCTCCTGGCTCCTGGCTTCGGATCAGCGCAACTCTAGCTGTTGCGGCCATCTCGGGGGTGAACCAGCGGATGGAAGACAACTCTGTCTCTACTCTCTCTGTAGCTCTTTCAAATAAATAAAATAAATCTTAAAAAAAAAAAAAAAAAAGACTGTGCCTCAATGGCTCTTCTAATAGACACAATAAATACTTGGGGAGGGGGGCAGATGTGTCACTTGGGTGCCCCCTTCAGGTCAGAGACCCTCTCCCCAGATGAGAAAGCTGCCTGCCATCAGCTCACAGTTAACTCTCTTCCTGGGCACTGCCCTTGCCAAGCAAGCTGTCTGGCCAAGTTGTATCTCAGAGGGCAGTCTGCCGCCCCTGGGTAGTCACTGCCTGGGCACAATGTCTGCACTCTTGCCTCAACTCAGAACCTCTCTGAAACCAACCCACTGAACCACCACCCACATGCAAATCTGCGAGTCGAGAGTATGCTTTTCCCCAGAGCAGCAGACTCGACCCATCAGTCACGTTATGGACACATTCCAGAGGATTCTGTGCACAGCTCTAAAGACATCAGTCTAGGTAGCCTACTTCCCTCTCCTTGTCCCTAAGGGAGGCACACTGGAATGCAGGTGAGACTGATATCATTATACCAACCCGCCAACAAACTTGTGAATTTGCTATCAGTAACACAACAAAAGAGTAAGAGCTGTGAGTATGTTGACCCCGTGGCTGATCACACCAGTTTTTATAGGTCTGCTTGATTTAAGAAGAATGTGAAGCCACATCATAGACCGAAGCCGCAGCCCAGTAACGACCAGAATCCTACTGGCAGCAGCAGAGTATCTTCAGCCCTGAACTGCTCTTCTACAGCAAAGAATTCTACTTGCCAATGCATGCAGAGAACACCCTGTCACCCAGGAGATGCTATCAGAATTCCCCACTAATGGGAAGCACACAGATGTGCAAAACGCCCTGG